GCATTTGCTGCTAGTCTTCCTTTGTTCCTGGGGCATCTGATGGAAGGTGGACATTTTCACGTATTGCCTTATAAACCTCGTGCTTCGAAGGGACATTTATAGTCCAATATGTATACACCCTCCCTGAAATACGAAGCGGTGTGGTTTTTCTGTTCATACTTGATTGCCTTTCATCCTTAAAACATAAACACTTCTTTCCATTCATAATGGGAGACAGAAAATTTTTTCCAAACCAAAGTGCATTGCTATTTGGCTCACAAATATATAATCAAAGCATTGTTTTATAAAATACATTTTTTTCTTTTCTTTTTTTAGAGAGAGAGTAACATAGGATAGCGATTACACTTTTAAAAAGTTTTATTGTCAAAACTTTATAAAATATAGACATACAGAGCAAAAGCTATTTCCTAGAGCATCACTGTTCATATTTTGGGGAGATAAATCCTTTAAATATTTTTTGTACATAGATAAATGTTCAATAATTAATAGGTATTATTCTTTAAATAGTATGCTGTTACATCCTTCGTCCTTCAGCAGTATAGCACAAACACCTTACATATGTCATTAAATATCCTTTTACAACGTGATTTTCTAAGGAGCTAGATCTTTTTAAGACTTTGTTTTTTAGAGCAGTTTCAGGTTCACAGCAAAATTGAGCAGGAGGTACCAAGATTCCCCATATAGCCGCTGCCCCCCAACGGGCACAGTCTCTGTCCCATTGTCAACGTCCCCACCAGACAGTGGTTACCACTCGTGAACCTACACTGACCCGTCCTTTAGAGTTCACTCCCAGGAGCGAGCTTTCGAAAAGTCGGTCTTCTCCCCCTTCTGCTACAGAAAGGCAAAGGTGTCACAATGCTGGAGGAGATCAAAGTCCCCTTCATCAAGTTGGTGTACACGTTGACGGTCCCCGAGGCCACAGTGAAAGACAGTGGAGACTACGAATGTGCTGCTCGCCAGGCTACCAAGGAGGTCAAAGAGATGAAGAAAGTCACCATTTCTGTGCATGGTACATTCTGCTTTCTAAAATGTCAGTCGTCCACGCTGCTGGGGATCTGTATGCGCTAATCATTATTTAATGGAAACTCTTCCCTGTACAGAGAAAGGGTTCATTGAGATCAAACCCACCTTCAGCCAGTTGGAAGCTGTCAACCTGCATGAAGTCAAACATTTTGTGGTGGACGTGCGGGCCTACCCTCCTCCCAGGATATCCTGGCTGAAGGACAACCTGACTCTGATTGAAAATCTCACTGAGATCACCACCGACGTGGAAAAGATTCAGGAAATAAGGTAAAGAAACACCCTTCCCAAGTATGCCTTTTTTCAGTGTCCGTCCCTAGATGGACCGAGGTTTTTGTGTGTCTTGCAACCCAAACCAGAAGTCAATCTATAAAACATAGCAGTCTGAGTTAAGAGATGCTTGAAATCAAGTCCCTTTAATTATAACATTGCAACGTGGTAATAGTATCCTGGTAAGTATTTAATGATAAAATGAGAAGAAAGAAGAATTAAGATGCTTTGCCCCCCAGTGAAAGACGGGTCACTGGATTCAGCTAAGGGTGGAGGGAAAAAAGTGAAGTTGGACCCACTTGGATTGAATATATTCCTCATCATCCATATTGCAAGTAGCCATGTGTGGTGATTTTCCTTGCGAGGCAATTATCACATAAACTTACATGAAACAAAACATCGTTGACTTAATTTGGAACACATTTGCCCCAGCGGAGGACTCCACAGGAAATAAGAGGAGGGCCTGGCTAAATTGGGTCAGGAGAGAGGTGTACAGTGACTCATCTGGGATCCTTGCCTTTTGATCAGAGGGGTAGATCGCTCTCTTCCCTTAACTAGTGTGGAGTTTTGGGCAAGTCATCCCCCAGCCTCAGTTTCCTCATCTTCAATGTTGGATAAGCAGTATCTCATGTCTCCAAGGCTAGGAATTGGATCAGATGATATCTTGAGGTCTCTTGCAGTTTTAAGCTAGGATTAGAATCCAAGAGTCAAACGGTGCATCTTGAAGGGCCCAGCGAATTCAGCCCTGTATTTTATCAGAAATCATCCCAGAGAGACAAAAGTCAGTCCTATGTTTCAAGACTTCAGGAAAGGGGAGAACAGAACCTTTCTCATCATTCACTTAACCTCAAGATTTGCCTTCTTCTTTCTGAACTAAATTCCACGTGTAACCGAGAAGCAGTGTCTGAGCAATGGAATTTTACGACTTCTGGAGAACAGCGATGGGCAAACGAAGTGGAATACTCTATGTTAAGGTGATTTAAGAATCCTTCAGCACGTATTTTCCTCATTCCTCTTATGGGCCAGAGAATAAAAGGATGGACATGGTGGATGGGTCATCTGGACCCACTGGCTTTCTTGGCTGAACAACAGAGAACAATGAATGACAGAGGATCGGTTGGTAAATCAGCAGCCCACTGTGCCTAAGGGGACTCTGAGGAAACCCAGTCCTGAAGCTCATCCAGTGTCGGGCAGCAGAGGAAAAGTCAGCCTGGCTCCCTCACAGGCCCTAGCGCCCGGCATTTGCAGAGTGCTTTTGTGCCTAGGAAATGCTTTCACGTACATAATCTCATTTAATGAATCCTCAGAATGACTCTGCTGTGTGTTCAGTTATCACATTGTACTCATAGGGAAACAGAGCCATGGAGAATTTTAATGAGAATACCCATGGTCTTCTCACTCCATGAGCAGTGCACTCCTTTTCCATTCTAGTTGCTTCTCCACACTGTGATGATTTATAAAGGACAAGCAAATGGGCAAATACTATATTTATGCCCACACGCACAGGGCCAAGTGCCATTTGTAATACACGTAAGAAATCTTCTGGGGAAACTTTCCTCTAATAAAGCATGAAGAGGTGTATTTTTTCTAACTTATTTTTTTGAATAGGTGATAGAATCCCATGCTTTAAAAAGAATCAGACATAAAGATGATGCATTGTGAGAAGCCTCACTCTATTCCTGTTTCCAGCTTTCCAGTTCCTCCCTCCTCCCCAAAGGGAAGCACCTTCATTAGCTTCATTAGGTTCTTAGGAAACCTTTGAGTTTCTTTAAGCAAATCCAAGCAAGCAGGAATGTTATATCCTGGAGACCTCCCCATGTTGATATGTAGAGCCAAGGATCCCCATCCTTTCCTCCATTGTGTTTTTGGCTGAACCACGTAAATGATGGATATTTAGGGGAGACAAGTATTTTTTTAAAAAGGTAAAATCAAGAGTTTTTGAAAAAAGAAAAGCCAGTAGGCTGTGTTTATTTCCATTGAGAAGTCAGGCCTCAGTAGAACCGATAGCTCTTGGAGACAGCCATTGCTCATCTCAGAATGTCTGGTTTTCCCTTGTAAGAAATGTGTCTGTGATTCAGACCTTCAGCATGTGGAAAGCATATCAAGAATCCCAGAAAAGAGATGCCACAGGAAAGGAAAAAAAAAGATATTTTGACTTTTTACAAAAATAAAATTTAAATGAAGACTGCCATTGCTTAAATGATGGGAATTTATTTAGCTGCTGCTTGTTGAAACAAAATCCTTTTCTCTTAAGGTATCGAAGCAAGTTAAAGCTGATCCGTGCTAAGGAAGAAGACAGTGGCCACTATACTATTGTCGTTCAGAATGAAGACGACATGAAGAGCTACACATTTGAACTGTTAACTCAAGGTACGTGGAGGCAGCATGCAGGTAACGGTCGCTCAGCGAACCAGGCAATCCGTGTCTGCCTAAGACAGCCTGGCACTTTTCCCACAGGCTATGGGGGAAAAGCAACACTTAAGGGGAGAAACGGGGCCTGGAGATGTCACATGTCAGGGATGGCTTTGTTGGACTCATGAATTCAGGTATTTCTGGGAGGTTCTGAGTTACTCTGGAGCAGTCTGGGACTTTCCAGGTTCCACCAGCTTTCTTAGCGCCTGTTTTTCAACATGGCGCCTCCAGTTCTGAGAAGAGGAAAGTGACGCTTTTAGGTCCAGATGACCTTGAATTGTTCCGGAGAGTTTTGCTTGGTTTCCCTTGTAGACACTATACGGGGGTCCCTGCCAGAATGGAGTGCCCAAGTACATTGACATTCCAGCACCTATTCACTGAGTCCCTACCGTGTGCCCCGTCCTGTCCTAGGTAGGCTCGTTTGAGTCTCACAGTGAATCTGTGATACAGGTATTAGCATATCTCTAAGTTACGGGACTCCAGATTAACAAGAGAACCTTTAAAATCTAATAATATCCCACAGATGCACTTTGGTGAATGCTACTTTAGATTATACTTCAGTGGAATCCCTTAGTTGAATCCTAAGCTATAACATGATTTTAAGAGCCTCCTTGCCTTTTAAGCCAAATAACTGCAGGAACTTTTCACTTTCTTCACTCCAGATTTAAACCATCCCAGAAATAAATTCCCAAACACCAAAACTACAAAAATGCTCTTAACCGAGTGGGTCTGTCTAAATGGGGGTGGCACTTGTACAACTGGTTTCAGCCCCTCCAGGGTGACTCCAATGCCGTGTGGACGAGTTCTGAACGCACATCCCCCGTGTCGTGCCTGCAAGTTCTGGGACACGAACTCTCCAGTTCTGACTTCTGTCCACCTCTTGCAGTGCCCTCATCCATCCTGGACTTGGTCGATGACCACCATGGCCCGACAGGGGGACAGACCGTGAGGTGCACGGCCGAAGGCACACCTCTGCCTGATATCGAGTGGATGATTTGCAAGGATATTAAGAAGTACGGGAACCAGATGTTTCTTCTTCTTTTGTGGTCAGAATGCCTCTCCCTTGACACAAAGGGCCTCAAATACATTTTATTTCTTCTTTTGTTGGCCTTTTTTGGGTATCTGTGATGCGTATTTGGCCTAAGGCCCATGCTACTTACAAATGACAAGATAGGGTTCTGAACAGGGACCGCAGTTCCGGGGTACGAGTGTGTGCTCATGAATAGCTGCAGGAGAAGGTCCACAGCTCTCATCAGACTCTCAAAGGGGTCTCTACTCTGAAAAAAGATGAATTTTAAGAACCACTATCCTAAGAAAATTTTTACCAACCTGGCCCACATTTTTACCTCACATTCCTTATTTGGTGAACTTTGTTTGGTGGCTGGCACGGCACGTGAACATAAATGAAAATAGTGCCATGTGACTGCTCATGCCCTCCTTCACCCAGGTTCGGTGGGAGTTAACTCACCAGCTCCTCCTGCCTTCCCCGATTCTACAACTTTCTAAATGGGCACATGAGCTACACGTTCACACTTCCACCCATGGTGACCGATTGTGTCCAGAAACTTTTATTGTTTCTTCCTGAAGGCTGAGATTCCTAGTCCTACCCTCTCCTAGGGCTAAAGGGGGTGGACTTGGATGTTGGCTGGAGCTTTGGTAGATTCCAGACTGGAGCTGGAATCTAGGTCTTACAACGTAATCCAGAGGATCGCTCCCACCCTGGTGACACCTCGGGGGCTCTTGCCAGTGTGGGTGGTGAGAAGGAAGGGTGGGCTCCAGGCCTTTTTGAAGGGGTGGAAAATTGGAATCCTTAAACCTGCTTGAAGTTTAGCCATTCAGTTTTCTCATAGGTTCAAGGTTGGGGAACGGCAATTATATTTTATTAAACTTGTTTCTCTCTGCCTCCTTCCTAAACAGTTAGCTTTCAGTTATTCACATGTGGGTTATTCCCTCCTGACCCTGTGCAAACAGGTCTTAATGTTAAATCTGCACATGACATGAGAAAGTCAGCCTGTAGCTCCCCCAAACGTAGCGAGGGTCAGCACTCCTTGCTGTCTTAGAGTATTCCCGCTGCTCCACTCGTCTCCATGACTGGCCCTATACTTAGGCCCCTTTTTTCCTTTAGATGTAATAATGAAACTTCGTGGACGATTTTGGCCAACAACGTCTCAAACATCAACACGGAGCTCCACCCCCGAGGCAGGAGTACAGTGGAGGGCCGTGTGACATTCGCCAAAGTGGAGGAGACCATTGCAGTTCGATGTCTGGCCAAGAACCTCCTTGGGGCCGAGAACCGAGAGCTCAAGCTGGTGGCGCCCAGTGAGTTGCTCAACGGTCGGGACAACTGAGTAGCTGGGCCCTGTCTCCCTAAGGCGGGACTTTGAATCCCACGTAGGGTCCCGTGGGAATGAAGCCTCCAAGGAAGACATTCAGCTGGGAATGCTCTTAAAGGCATCTGGGCCTTTCTTTCAGGTTCAGACCCCAAACTGCATCTCGCAGAGGCCCCTGGACATTTTGCATGGCTAATAACATGGCTACTCAGTCTTATTTAGTCTGAGCGTCTGGGTAGGGGGATGGAGGTGGGGAAGAAGGATCTTCTGTCTCATCTACTCCTTACAAAATGAATGAAGCCAAAAGCAGTATGAGCAAAATAGAGCCTTTCAAAATAAGCTTTATAATAAAGCATATGAAATAGAAGTTTCTACATGTATAGTGGCTCTCGGTCTGATTGATCTTTACTGTGCCTATTCAAACTCTGTCCAAAAGGTTACTGTTGGAGAAAGTGTTGAGTGCCCCTGATCGAATTTTGTTCCTTTCTCGTCTCAGAGAAGCATGGGCATGGTGTCCTGGGTGTAGATGTTCGAGAGATGGTATTGTCTGTCCCTAAGGAAGGGCCAGGCAGCCTCACTCCCCCACCAGCAGTGGGGGCCCAGCCACCCCACCTTCCTGCCCCGCTGCATGTCCGTGAGAAAATCTTTCAGCGTGCCTCTCTCTTGTCCCCTAGCCTTGCGTTCGGAACTCACGGTGGCAGCCGCGGTTCTGGTGCTGTTGGTGATTGTGATCATCTCACTTATTGTCCTGGTCGTCATTTGGAAACAGGTAGATATTTTCCAAAAGAACTAAAACATCTTTAAAGCCAATAAGAACAAGAAGAATAGCCACCTAGTTCAGGGCTTGGCACAGAGAACGAGCTCAGTAATTATATGTTGAATGAATGTTGTTGGACGCTACCGTGTCCACTTTGCCACTGTAGTGGAGCTTTGGTGCATTGGGACTTTGGTAATTCACCAATTACCTGTCCTGGTCATTTCTAGAAACCGAGGTATGAAATTCGCTGGAGGGTCATTGAATCAATCAGCCCCGATGGACATGAATACATTTATGTGGACCCGATGCAGCTGCCTTACGACTCGAGATGGGAGTTCCCAAGGGATGGACTCGTGCTTGGTAAGCGCCTGTGGGGTTGGTCCCCTGAGACTCCCTTCTCACCTGTACACAGCTTCACCACGTGCAGGCTTCTCTGGCAGAGTAAGGGATCTGAGCTTGTGCTTAAGCAAGCGCTAGGCAATGGAAACTTGCTTTCAGAAATATATTTCCATCCTGACAATAAGTTAATTGGATCACTGCAATGATTTTTTTTGAAAACATCTCATTCCATAACAAATTATGGTTAAAGAAAATTCAACAAAGGGAGAAGAGAATGTGAAGAGGCCTGGCAAATATACTCACCAAAATAGCTTTGCTTTGGAAATGACACAAATTGAAAATGAGATGCATCTCTGGGACTAAAAAGGAACAGATGAGAAATGAATGAGGACAACCACAAAACGTATTTTGATGCAGTACATTCTGAGGATGCATTAGATACTTCTTTATATATATTTGGAGTATGTAATATAAAAATATAGGTACATTTTAAAGTAAAAGATGTAAAAATAAGCCAGCCAACTTACTACAAGCTTCTAAAATATTTCAATCCTGGGATGAGACCAAATATATGAAGCTTTAGTCCAAGAGTTTTTTTTTTTTTAAATCACATTCTGAATGAATGAAAACAAGACAAAGGCAAATGAAAGTTAGAGGTAGAGGTTGTGTCATGATGGATAATCCAAGGGTACGTACTTTGAAAAATGCTGGGTATCGTTTTTAATGACCCGCCTGTATCACTCCAAAACACGGAACAGTGTGGGTCTTTCTAGAGAGTCACTTAACTGAAATCAAACAAGGCACCAAGCTGCTCCCAATTTCAACTGCTCGTATCTAAGCTTTCTTTATTGTATTTCCCCCTCTTTCCCAAAAACAGACAAGGAGCTTAGGGAGGTTAACAAGTAATAAAACACGAGGAACAGGGCACAGTTCCTAACATGCCAATAGGCGTTTCTTTGTCTCTCCGTTCCTGGGTCTTGCCAAGTTGCTGGTGAGTAGAACCTTTCCAGGTCCAATGTCCAGTAACACAGACATGCGGTAAGAGGCAGTGTTGGCTGGTGGTGTCTTTTATGAGCTGAGTCTCTGCCTGGCGTGGCTATCCACGGGGAGACTGACTCCCTGGGAACGGTTCCTCTTAGACTGTGAGCTCTCCAAGGGTGGGGATGACTGCTTGGATTACTTTTTGTAACTCCAACGAGGAGCAGAGTGCTGTGCTCTCAGGGCATGTTTAGCCTGTGCTGTAGTGGCCTTCCTGACAATAGGCAGCCACAAGTCCAGCCTGAAGTCTTAACTTAATCACTCCTTGGAATCAGTGATATTTGGAATACTGAAGTATTGCCAGTGGTTAAGGGTTTGTTGATGCAAAAGATGTCCCTGTTTGCACGTGGAAAACAGAAGGGTAGAGAGCCCGGGGGTTTGGGCGGGAGCTGTAGACAGCAAACGCAGAGCAGCCCAGAGTCTGGCCCAGCACGGAGCTGGTAGACAGAGTGCTCACACCAGAGGGGGCTGCACCCTCCTCTCTCCCCGTCTGTGTTTTCCTTTCCCTTGCAAATGTTATTTGACTAAAGCAATTACACTAATTTCCTTCCCCGTGGGCTCCATTCTGATTTTGACGTGATGGCTTGGAGGAGTCATCATGCTTACTCAGTACTGAGAAACACCCACCCAGCTGTGCACCCACCGACAGCTGGCCTGGCCACGGTGAACCAAGTTGAGGAGAGGCCTGGAGTTTGCCTGCGTTAACGTTTCTGGTTGTCCACAGGTCGTGTCTTGGGATCTGGGGCATTTGGGAAAGTGGTCGAAGGAACAGCCTATGGATTAAGCCGGTCCCAGCCTGTCATGAAAGTAGCCGTGAAGATGCTGAAACGTAAGTGCCCGTTGCTGGGGAGTTTTGAACATGGAGGTATTAAGGGAATTGCTCAAAATCACACAGCTAGTAAGTAACAAGTTTAGGACCAGATCTTGGTTCTTTTGACTCTAGGTTTCACGTGCATTTAGACTATTGTGTCAATTAGGTTTATTTAGATTGCTCCTGTTGCTCGCATGTTGGGAAATCAAGAGTTATTATTTCTAGTGACTTCTTTTTACCCGAAAGACTAGGGATTAGTTAGTTATTAGAGTCGAGACTGAGTCACTATCTTGGTGAATAGACTTTTTGATATCCAGTCGCAGGATCAGCCGTGTCCTTGGTGTATTCTGAGAGTGGGAAGTGGGTACCTCAGTGGAACTGATACGTGATTTATTTCTTCAACAGCCACGGCCAGATCCAGTGAAAAACAAGCTCTCATGTCTGAACTGAAGATAATGACTCACCTGGGGCCACATTTAAACATCGTGAACTTGCTGGGAGCCTGTACCAAGTCAGGTAACCTCACTGCCCCGGAGCGCGAGTGAGGGTTTTCGTTGAACAGCTGTGGTTGTGGAAACTGCTGAACCGGGTTTAAATCCTCCGCTTCCCACGCCCCAAACATGGCAGGGAATAGAAGTCCCTTGAATGGAGTTGACTCGTTCCATTGAACTGATGGAAGCTCATTGTTTTCGAGCAACATCTCTTGCCAGTCCAAACAGAGCAATTCATGACTTTTCTGTCCTTCATTTTCACACCTGTCTCCTGCCGGGTTTGGTCCCCACAGGCCCAATTTACATCATCACTGAATACTGCTTCTACGGAGATCTGGTCAACTATCTGCATAAGAATAGGGACAGCTTCCTGAGCCGCCACCCAGAGAAGCCAAAGAAAGAGCTGGACATCTTCGGATTGAACCCTGCTGATGAAAGCACGCGGAGGTGGGTGCAGAGAGGGCCATGGCCATGTACCTTTGTCTTACCCGCCTCACAGGTGGGCAGACCCGCGTCCTGATGCATTTGGTGTCTGCAGATTCAGCGCCCGAGGTAGTAAGATATAGAGTCAGACTGCCCTGCCCAGTCCTATCACAGCGCTGAGAGATACGTGGTGTCTGCAGGTGTTTTGGACCAGAGTAGCACATGGGGAGGCATCGCCGATAGGTTTGAATGAGAGAGAGTGCGGGAACCTTCTGGGAGCCATTCTGCTGTTCACATGTGATCCACTGAGGACCTGTAACACGCAGCATTGGCCTGGGTCGCCTGAGTTCTTACACCTTGTGAGAAACTGCCTGCCCGTCTCTGAGCTTCCGAGACTGGTCCTCACCATGCCTGGACCTATAAGTCACGCTGATGATTGTCATCCTCACTGCAGCAACCTACCAATGGCTGTAGAGAGCTCTGTAGATAAAAAGTTTTGTAAGATCAGACAGTAAAATGAATTTACTTCGTATTAAATGACTCGATGGACACCAAATGGGTGCTACATTTATTGGGTAGCGGGAAGTGTCTGCCTGAGCCCCATGGCCACATGGCCCAGGTTCGTGGCTTATGAGTTGAAAAACAGAAAGAATAACGACAGACTTAATGTAATGCATTTTTCAAACTTTAAACATAATAGACTTAAACAATTTTATGAATCTATGGAAGCATAGCCCCATTGTCTCAGACCAAAATCTTCCTTCGCAGAACATCTGAGTTTCAGTTGATTATTTTATCAATGCTCATCTCCCCAGCTAGACCACCACTCTGTGAAGGGGGTGGCTTGGCTCTGCTGTTGCTCACGCTGCAGCCCCTAAACCTGCCACAGTAGCAGGCACATGGTAGACACCCCCAAATCATCATCTACTGAATGTTGAATGACCACCGCGGAGGGACAGCCTGGGTAAGGTTTCTTTGTCTGCTTTTGCAGCTATGTTATTTTATCCTTCGAAAACAATGGTGACTACATGGACATGAAGCAGGCCGATGCTACTCAGTATGTTCCTATGCTGGAAAGGAAAGAGGTGTCCAAGTACTCAGACATCCAGAGATCACTGTATGATCGCCCAGCCTCATATAAGAAGAAATCCATTTTAGGTAAAAGTGTCTGTTCTCACTCCGGTATTGTGCTCTTACGGTGGGTTAATACGATACTTAAAATATTCAGAGGAAGGTGAACAGGGCTGGTAAGCAGACCTGGCAGCCTGTGTGGTCCCTAAATGCAGGTCTGCACAACCAGGTCTGTGACATGTTTTCACAGGTTTGTGGTCTATGAATTGAAAAGAATAAAGATAATGCAAATGAATTTTTCAAACTTTAAATGTAATCGTTTTAAAGAATTATTTATTCTGATAGAATGTCCTTCCTTTTTTTTGTTGTTGCTAACATGATTTTTTTAAATGAAAGTATAGTGATAATTGATTTTTTTTCAATGCCCTTACTCGGCAGAATTAAAAGTTGGCAGTCTTACGTTGGTTTCTCATATTGGTTTTCTTCTTAAGTTTTAGAAGTCTCTGGTATCTGTGAGTTCAATAACTCTTGCTTTTAGTTTTCCTAACATCCAATTTGTGATAGGAACTGCAGAGTAGACGATTTGAGGTTATGTTTTCTGACAAGTGTCTCCATTGAATGTTTTTTGAAGGTGGATCAGTCTGTTTTCCAAGCAGAGAAGTATGTGGCAGGGTTGAATTGATTTATAAACTCCGGGGAGCTAGCTGATGCCCACAACAGATGGACCACCTCACATCTGCTCGGGTGGCCCCTCCAGGGCTCTGGTCTAGTCACAGACTTGGAGCTCGGAGGCCGACATGGGCTTGTCCCGTGATCTTGTCTTCTTGGGTCTGAGCCCTCCTATTGGTCAACGCAAAAAACGTGTTGAGCTGCCATGGAAATTGTTTTGAAAATCACTAATGTGCTCCGAATGCTTTCAGAGTTCTTAAGTGAAAGGTACAATCTATTAAAAAAGAGAATGTGCTTGTTTTGCAAAGCTCCGTCAGTACATAATAATATTTTCCATTTCTGTGGTTCCAAGTTCCATTCACTTCTCATTGCCAAATGGGTGAACTCCAGGCGCTTTTTAAAGATTAGCCAATGAGAGTTATCGGAACCAATGCTTCCTCTCCCTCCCAGAGCGTTAAAAATAGTTCACATTGCTTCCCAGGACACGCTGGTGGACTTGGCACCAGATGTCAGAGGAGCCTCAGCCATGCTCGGGCCCAGGCCCTGTTGGCAGACAGACCACTCCTTCTGGCCTTCCCGTAGCTGGCTGCAAAAATGTGAATGGCTGGAGCTACTCTTCACTTGCCTGAACATTTTTAAAAAGACCTGAGAACTGCTGGCCTAGATTGCCTTCTTCCTCGAAAACCCTGGGGCCCTTCCAGATGGGACGAACTGGGCACACTAGATTAGTTACAAACCAAGGAACTCAACGCAAGGTCATTGGCATGGATTTTTGATTGGTGATTGAGTTTATTGGCAAATTATAAGCTAAGTACTATGAAGATGGCTTTAAAAAGAAAGTAAAGCAAACCCTAGAAGCTGCTTTTTCAGAGGGCCCTTGTGTATGTCATCACGGAAGATGTTAGTGTCTGTGTCTGTGTACGTGTGTTTTAAAGGTGGCAGAGGTGATTTGCTAACTGTGATTGAAAAAAGAAATTTCAGAGGCAAACAGAAAAGTTCTGTGTGAGAACTCATTCGAGAGATCAGTTTAGGTTGGTCCTGATGGCTATACGTGTGAGATGCGTATATATATATATTTATGTATAAAAAATACTTTTTTTAACCAGATATGCATTTATGCATGCATATTTCTGTTTTAAGATAGAATTTTTGCATAGTTTAGGTATTCACCTGTGAGGTCTAGAAATCCTATGAGAAAATGCTTTTGGATGTGTTCTCTGGGCAAGTCTCAGCAAGCCGGCAGGCAGCCCAGCCCTTCGGGGTCCCCTCCGGTGGGCGACGTGTTCCGCTTTCTGCCAGCGCCAACACGTTTAATTTCTTTTCTGCAGACTCCGAAGTCAAAAACCTCCTTTCAGACGATAACTCCGAAGGCCTTACTCTGTTGGATTTGTTGAGCTTCACCTATCAAGTTGCCCGAGGAATGGAGTTTTTGGCTTCCAAAAATGTAAGTTCAAGGAACAAGGGACCTTTTCAGATACAACCACAGATTTCAGAGTGAGGGGAGTGTGGAAGGAGACGAGGCTGGTAACAATGGCTGCCTCTCATTTACACACCTCTCTTACTCCACCCCTGCGCAGGGCAGGGAGTCTCATGTCTCCGAGTATCTACTTTTCTCCAGAACTTTCTCTCAGGACCTGGTGGGCTGAGAGCCCGGGGGAAGGCAGCCTTCCTGAGGTGTGTGCCAGCAGCTCCAAGTGCCACCGTGGAGGGCCGGTCTTGCAGGGCTGATGCTGTCCAGCCACAGGTACACTGACCCTGCGGTCCTTTCTGCCCTTTCCATGCAGTGTGTCCATCGGGACCTGGCTGCGCGAAACGTCCTCCTGGCACAAGGGAAAATCGTGAAGATCTGTGACTTTGGCCTGGCCAGAGACATCATGCATGATTCAAACTACGTGTCAAAAGGCAGCGTATGTCCTCTCTTCCCTCCTTGGGCATAGTCACCCTCCCTCACCTGCATCTCTGAAGTCAGGTGTTGCTCCTGGCCGTTCCGCGCCCATAGTCGTAATGTGGAGTCCACAGGCTTCACGAGTGGACCGCAGTGGGGTCCACTGGGCGTGAGCGCCAGCTCCACCACTGACTCCCACTGGGGTTTGAGGCGGTGACTTGACCATCCTGTAGCTTGGTCTCCCCGTCTGTAGCAGGGAGGTGATAATCATACCTGTCTGCCGAGTTGCCGTGGAGATTAAGTCATCAAATTTACGTAAAGTGCTTGGGACAGTGCCTGCCTATAGAATTGTCAATATTAAGATGTAAACCGTATGTATGCATGTCCGAGCGTGCGTTTCCAAGGAGAGCGTCCCTAGTTTTTAAGAGTCTTCTGTGACCCCTAAAATGTTAAGATGATTTGAGTTAATATATCTTGGAGGCACAGTTTCTTTAAAGATAGTCGTTTTCTCATATACTTGAACCGTTCTCTCTATCTCTGCCACCTCTAAACGGATGAAGTAGCTCAGGGTACTTCTGCCCCCTGTAGGTGCAATTCCAAATCACCCCACTGCCCTGGCTGTGACACCCACCCACAGAAGGACATTGGCCGGTGTCCTTGCTCTGTGTGGTTCACGTACTCATGTGGCCGTGACCTGTAGCCAGAGGCTCTTCCTGCACAACTTTAGGCACCTCGAATAGATCACTGGACTTTGTGGAGCCAGTTTCTCCCCTGTCCCCGTGAACTTATGAATCTCCTGTCTCCCCAGCAACCTCAGAGGGTTGAAGGATGCTATGTGGCTACTTTATGTATCTGCCTCCGTTCACATTTCCCCTGAAGGTTGAGCCAACTTCACAAAAGAGGCTGCAAAATTCATCTCAATGTCCGGCTCTTTGTAGTGGTGGGAAATTACTATTTCTTAGAGTGCAAAAGCTGCAATCTGCTCACAGATCTCTGGCTTCGTTCTTCATTTTGTTCCCAGGAATATCTAAAAATAGGGGACGCACTTTTTGAGTGAAAATTCAGGATTCAATGTTTTTGGGTATTATGCCTTTGGAGGGCACAAGAAGCAGCATGAACCATTGATTGTTCATCAAATGTTCGCTGGCACTGAGAGCACAGTGGTAAACCAAACGCACACGGCAGACACGTGGGCCAGGAGAGCACGTGCAAGTTGCTGTGGGCCCAGGGAGAGCCCGGGCGTTTCCGCAGCTGCAGATCATCGGGGCATAGATGCGAGCTAATCTCCTCCCTCCTTCCCCGCAGACCTTTCTGCCCGTGAAGTGGATGGCTCCCGAGAGCATCTTCGACAACCTCTACACCACGCTGAGCGACGTCTGGTCTTACGGCATCCTGCTCTGGGAGATCTTTTCCCTCGGTACGGGCCTGACGTCGGGGGCTTGTGCGGGCTGGTGCGGAACGACCTGGAGGGGAAGCGTGTTCTTCCGAGCTCCGGGATGTAGACAGTGTTAGGATACCTGGTGTGAGTCAAGCGGGCTGCAGCCCCCTCACGCCACGCATTAGGCCGTGCAGGCGGAGATGGGTCTCTGCAGGGAGCTGCACCTCACCCCCACCTCTGCCCCTCCTCTGCTGCGGGCCATGCCAGAGTGACTCCTCCCACTGGACGTGCTCCTGGCGACATCCACTCTCTGGCTGCGTTTTCCTTTTGGACTTTGGGTTAAATGGGTTCACCAGGGGACAGTGGCCCTCCCTCACCTCTGGTGGTTGATGCACAGGTGAAAAGTAGGGTGTTGAGAGAAAGAGGCATGGCCCCCTCCTGGCCAGTCATTCTGGAGGAGAGAAACCTCCCAGGCGCCCGGCCAGTCAGTCCCCGGGTGCTGCCAGGTGAGGGCCAGAGAGAAGGACGAGTCTCGCCCATGACCTCTGACGGTTCTTCTGAGCAGATGAGACTTACACACTTAGTGACAAGCTGTGTGGTTCTGATTTCAAGTTGTAATTCACGACCAGCGAAAGGAGAAAGGCATCCTGGAGTAGGCTTCCGAGAGGAAACTGAACTCGACCCCGCCTTGGCTATGAAAATGTGAGGTGTCTCGTGAATCTATCTGTTACCCTGATGTGGCAGGAAAGGGTGCCCTCTCCCCAGTCTCCTTTTTTATCTTAGTTCTTTCTCCATGGCTGGTCACCATGGATCATCCCAGTGTGTGGTTTAGAGGAATCTCGCACTCCCTTAAAAGGAGAGATTCATCTAGACGTTTCAGGGCCCAAATTTGACGTTAGCTTTAATTATTTGAACATTTCTGGTGAAAATGACTTTCTTGGCCTCAGTGATTCAGAATTTCTCGTTGCTTTTCTGGTTCGCTTTGTATATGCAGCTCTAGTAGTCAGAGCGTTGAAAAACACTTCAGGGCCTTTTCTAAACATGTAGAATTTTTGCCTAAGGTGTTTGGACTTGAGCAGCCTAGAGTCCTAGTTAAATTGAAGATTTGAGGTCTCTGAAGTCAAGGAGATAACACTTAATTCCCTTAAAAGAACCAGCGCGTTTTCTAACGGTGTTCTATCATGCCAAGTGTTTCGACAGTGTACTGAGCATCTGTCAGTCCTGGTGTTTTCTTTGGCTTCTAGGTGGCACACCATACCCTGGCATGATGGTGGATTCTACTTTCTACAACAAGATCAAGAGTGGGTACCGGATGGCCAAGCCCGACCACGCCACCAGTGAAGTGTGAGCTCCTTCCCCATCCCAGGGGCCTGGGTTCATGCCCAGGGGGTCTGGGAGGCGGGGGGTGCCCTGAGATGCACCCCCTGACCCCGTGCCCACTCTGAGTCCTCTTGCCCTGCAGCTATGAGATCATGGTGAAGTGCTGGAACAGTGAGCCGGAGAAGAGACCCTCCTTTTACCACCTGAGTGAGATTGTGGAGAACCTACTTCCTGGACAGTATAAAAAGGTGTGTGGGGCTTGGGAAGGTGGGTGGAAGGGCCTGGGCAAGAGGAGAAGAGAATAACTGGAAGTCACGCCAGTGAGCAGTGCTGTTCAACGCTGTTCTAAAGGAACATTTTCAAAGGAGGAAAAAGATCGTGTGATCCAGGGGTGGGAACTTCGTGGCGTGCTCCATGGGCCCCGGGTAGAACTAATGAGTGGAACCCTCCCCTTCCTGCAGGGCTCCCCTTTCATCTTAAACGGCGACACCTGTGAGCACTTTAGTCTCCAGGTGCTGGAGCGTCTGAAGCCGCTGCGCAGTCAGAAGTCTCAGGGCGGCCGTGGCCATTAAATCACTAATTTGAACGCACTTAAGTCCATGCGCAGTTGGCTTTTACCAGCTAACTGGGAGGAACAACCTCAGCTGTTATCTGTGGCTCCAGCTGGCTTTTTGTGGCACAGGAGGCATTGTTCAAAGGAACAAATGCAATTTCATGGAACCAGGCAGGATCTGTAAGTGCATGAAACAGCTTTCTGCTGAAGCGTGAAGAAGGAAACTCACACGTAAACTCAGTTTCTTAGATTCAGATTAGTCATGGTGTAGACTGTTCATACCTTTTACTTCTCTTGCCTCTTCTCAAAGAGGAGCGGCATCAGGAGACTGTGCTGAATTGGAAGTTAAGTACTTTTGCCTGTTATCTCGCTGCCCTTTACAACTCCCGCAGTGAGCGAGGCGGCAGAGAGAAATTAACCTCAGATTGGTCAGAGATGCCCTGATTGGCGGAGATGTGTTGGTGGCAAGAGATTAAAACTGCTGTTGAAAATAGAGTCTTTTTAGACCAGGTGAGGTGGCTCTCGCCTGTAATCCCAGCATTTTGGGAGGCCGAAGCGGGAGGATCCCTTGAGGCCAGGAGTTGGAGATCAGCCTGGGAGATATAGTGAAACCCCCATATCTACAAAAGAAAAATTAGCTGGCCATGGTGGCGTGCACCTGTAGTCCCAGCTATTCAGGAGGCTGAGGCAAGAGGATCACTTGAGCCCAGGAGTTCGAGGCTACAGTGAGCTATGATGACTTCATTGTACCCTACCCTGGGCATCAGAGTGAGACCCTGTCTCTGTTTAAAAAAAAAAAAAAAAAAA